GCCTAGAAAGCCGTTGCGCAACGTTGCGGCTCCCTCCGCCTCTACTTGCCAAGCCAGATGGGGCCGCAACCGTCGTGGTTTACGATGACGACGACTCGGACATGAGATGGCAGTCGCCATGCTGGGGATTCCCGTCAGTGGGTGGATAATCGAACGGGAGATGGCATTTGCCATAAACGTCTCTCCATGACTTGCTGTACCGAAGATCCTTATTCCCTTTTCGTGTCGATCTCGCCTATAGTTTCTAGTGATGACATACAGACGGGGCGGCAGTACGGCCTCTTGACCCGTTCGGCTCGAGGAGGACTGCGTATATTCCTGCTCGCAATGCAATACGGGTACAAGACTACGAATAGAAGAGTATGCGAGTCGGTCATAACAAACAGAAAGCAATTGCACCACCACACACCTTTTGGAAGTCTATGTGTCTTGTGCGAGGTTGCCATATTGTCTCACTGTGGTGGACGCAGATGCGTTGATCATCATGGGGGAGGGGCGTAGGGCAATCGCAATGAAGCAGCCGAAGATCGCAATCCGCATCGCAGTTGGGCAGAGGAAGAAGGTTTACCCTTGGAAGACGCGCATTCGTGTCCATGGAGACTGATCAGCAAAGGACCCGCAGGCTAAGCGGTCAAAGCTTGTCCGGGTATGCACCGCCTCATGGCCCTGCGTGTCTTGCAAAAACCCGAAGGCTTGAGTGTTGCTCAAGACCATTCAGGAGAGGCTCTGCACCAAAGTGAAAGTTGGGGTAAATACGTGAGAATGTGAATTGAGGATAGGTATAGGAGACAATTCCCTGCAGACGCTGACAAACAAGCCGGGCGACTCGGGTTACAAGCAACCGAATCCGGGGTACAAAGACACGACACGCCAAGTAGGTCAAACTGTGCCGTCACTCGTCGACATCAACTCTCAGCCGTGCTACCATCGCAATACATGTAGTCATTCCACCTCGCAACTTCAGAGGCTTACTTCTGCATCATGAGCTGGACGAACTCGTTGTCTGGATTGTGTTAGAGCGACACGTGTGATGGCAGCAAACAGGACGTACAGTCAATTCGGCCGTCGCCGTCCTGGTCGGCCTCCCGGATCATCTCGTCAACCTCGTCATCGGTCAATTTCTCGCCGATAGAAGTCATGACGTGGCGCAGCTCGGCGGCGGAGATGAAGCCGTTGTTGTCGCGGTCGAAGACCTTGAAGGCCTCCCGGATCTCCTCCTCGGAGTCGGTGTCCTTCATCTTGCGGGCCATCATGGTCAGGAATTCTGCACGAGGTTAGAGCGGGCGTGTGGCAGAAGTGGGAGGGAGAGGTGCCTGGGAAGTCAATGGTGCCGTTGTTGTCGGCATCCACCTCGTTGATCATGTCCTGGAGCTCAGACTCGCTGGGATTTTGGCCGAGCGAGCGCATGACGGTGCCCAGCTCCTTGGTGGTGATTTGGCCTGTGAGGCATCATCGTCAGCGGGGTCAAACTCGGGTGTCTAGTGCGGAGTGCGGTTGCGTGGGCAGGAACGAGGGCGCTCCCAGGGGGGCAAGGTGTGGGTGGTGCAGGCGACGGAGAGTACTGACCATCGCCGTCCTTGTCCTGCATCGCAAGGTGGTTAGCTGGTGTTGGGTGGCAGGCAGGGCTGGGCGGCCACTTACAAACAGAGAGAAGGCCTCCTTGAACTCGGAGACCTGCTCCTCGGTGAGAGAATCGGCCTAGAGAGCAGTGTTAGCAATGCGCCGGGCTGGGGGCGGGCGTGCGGTCGTCGTGTTTTGCAGGGCGGGGTATGTGCGAGGGCGCGCGGGCGGGCGGGGCTACACACCATGTTGTCTCTGGGTGGTGGGTGGTGGGTGCGAGGGTGAAGGGTGCTGGGCTGCTGGGCGACGATGGGCTGGGGCGGTGGATAGAGCAGAGGCGCAGGTGTGGTGTGAAGGAGGGTCCCGTAGTGTTTGCGGCTGGGCAAGATGGGCTGGAGTGGAGCAGGCTGTCAGACGGCCGTCTGTTGGGGAGCTGGCCTAGCGTCGCCCAGAGCGGGAAGGCGGCTCCCTCGCCGGCGCACCGCACCTCAGCCGCCGACACGCCTGCGAAGCGGCCGTCACTCACAGTCTGGCCGTCCTCTCAGGCTGACCCTCGCCAGCCCAGCATGTGGCGGGACCGAACCAACCTCTTCATATCCTACCGCCAGTCCTACGCCCACCACCCCCAGCAGAAGACGCGCCATGCCCGCCCGCGCTCCAATGGCCTGGGCGACAGCACGCGCGTGTCCGAGGAGCGCCAGGGCCTCATGTCCAGCGGCGCCTACCACGACGACGGCGACGCCGTGATTGAGATGGACCTGCTGCCTCCGCGCTGGCTCGACGTGCAGGACGAAATCACCCAGCACCTCGCCGACATCGCCACGCAGACACGCAAGCTCGACCAGCTGCACCAGAAGCACGTGCTGCCTGGCTTCGACGACGAAGACGTCAAGAGGCGCGAGGAGCGCGACATTGAGCATCTCACCCAGGCCATCACGCGCCTCTTCCAAAAGTGCCAGCAAGCCCTCAAGCGCATCGACGCCATGGTCCGCGACGCAAAACAGCAGGGCAGCATCGCCCAGGGCGAAGACGTCATGGCCCAGAACCTCAAAATCGCACTGGCAACCCGCGTCGGCCATGTCAGTGCCATGTTCCGCAAGAAGCAGGCTGCCTACCTCAAGAGTGAGACAACCCCCGCCTCGCAGCCCTGGCTATGCTAACAGTCTGTCGAGAACTACGCGACCTTGGCGGCTTCACCTCGCCCTTCCGCGTTGCAACACCCGTCCAAAACCCCTACAACGACCCTGCCTTGCAAGAGTCGGACGCCGATCGCTCCTTCTCCCAGTCCACTCTCCTCCAGACAAAGCAACAGCGCATGCGCCACGACCCCAATCAAGCAATCATTGCTCAGCGCGAGCGCGAAATCGAAGACATCGCCCAAGGCATCATCGAGCTAGCAAACATCTTCCAAGAGCTGCAGACCATGGTCATCGATCAGGGCAGCATGCTCGATCGCATAGATTACAATGTAGAGAACATGTCGCGAGACGTCAAAGAAGCCGACAAGGAGCTCAACGTCGCCTCTGGATACCAGAAGCGCACCATCAAGAGGAAGATTATGCTACTGCTAGCCATCTTGATCGCAGCTGTTTTCATACTACTGTCGCTCAAATTGGGCAGGAAAGGAGCAAATAATACGCCCGCCGCTCCACAAGTACCTGACGTTCCGCCCGCCATGGCCATGGCAATGGGATACAGACGACAATCAACAAGCACGCGCACAAGTCGCATATGGCATCGCAGGAGGCGGCGCTTGTGGCAGGGGACGAGAAGCGACCCACTAGATAAATACATGTCAAGCTGAGCTCTCCCATATACTATTTCCAATCATCTTCTCACTTCACATCAGACTACACGCTCAACAGCTACCTCTACTTCCAAGTAATCAGGCATCAGATTTGCTGCAGGATAGAGTGCAGCGGTGGGCGAGGGCGGCGTAAGCATCGCTATCGGGGTGGCGCAGGCGGGTGCAACGGTGAGCCCCACAGCTGCATGGGCGTTGGGTCAGAACCAGACTGCGGTTTAGGCACCACCATGTCAGACTGCACAATGCAAGGCCCCATAGTCTCAGAACTCAAAAGTGTAAGTCGCGTAGATTCAACTCGGTGCGTGTTGCGAGAGTGGACGTAAATAGCCAATAATGGTGGTACCTCGGCTCGGTTGCTCTTCTACGCCAAGGTCGTGAATTTAACTCGTGCTATTAAACGTGCATTCCTGGGAAGGACTTTTATATCATTACCAATTGACGTCTCTGTGTTCTCTGGCTCAGCTGATGAAGCAACCTGCTCGCTCTATGGCCGTATCATTACTAGCAAATCGTACGTGAATTACGAGGAAGCGTGTTCTTTCGAGGCTGTGTTTCGAAGACCTGCTCTAGAGAAGGTCGTCGCGTCGTTGACAATTAGCTAACAAGACGCAATGTAGTATACATCTCTGCCTAGGCGTCTATATACCTCATCATACCAGCTTCCTTGTTCACACGCAGCAATGGAGCCATCAACCTCTCCACCCGTTGCAGACATGGTAACACCGCTATCCGATTTTCAAAAGATAGGTCACAACACATATCTCTGGACATCATCATCATACCTATCCCAACTCGCAGAGCAAACTCCGCTCATCCTACTCTTCACTTGGAACGCTGCGGCCGCAAAGCACATCGCCAAATACACACTTGCCTACCAGAAGCTTTTCCCAACATCCCGCATCCTGCTGGTACGATGCTTCACCCCAGACATGTTCCGCCGTACCTCGTCCTACGCCACTTTGCTCGAGCCAACAACAGATCTTGTAGCCGAACATACCGCTTCAGGAGGACGCATCCTTGTCCATAGTTTCTCAAACGGCGGCGGGAATCAAGTCAATGAATTTGCAAAAGCATGGAAGAAGAAGTATGGAACAGTGCTACCAATGCAAGCACAGATTCTCGATTCCAGTCCGACCAAAGGCCCGTGGATGCAGAGCCATGCAGCCATTTCCGCGTCCCTTCCCAGAAACACGTTTTGGGTTTGGTTTGGTGGGGCGCTGGTTCATCTTCTCCTTGTCCTCACATTTATTGCAGACAAGACTACGGGAAGGGAGAATATGATGGTAGTTCTCTGCCGAGAACTGAACGATGAATCGGTGTTTGATACCAATGTACCGCGTCTGTATTTGTATAGTCGTTCGGATACGATGGTTCGGTTTGAGGAGGCAGATGAGCACGCTGATCTTGCCAAGGCAAAGGGATGGGATGTCACAAAGGTGCAGTTTGAGAAAAGTCCGCACTGTGGTCATATCAGGGAGGACGAGAACAAATATTGGGCAGCGGTTATGGAAGCTTGGAAGAAGGGGCCGAAGAGTGGTAACATGTCTACTTGATCTAGATACCAGCGTAACGCAGTCCTCATCTTCCTTGTGTTTATTCTAAGCGGAATCTGGTATGTTGCGTCTTGGTACGTCTACAATCGAGCTGCCACCAGACTCAGATATATGTTCCACAGTAAACCGCAGAAGCTGAGGAAGACAATACGACGCTCGACAGGGATGAAGGTGGTGCTAAAGAAGTTGGCAATCGGCCAGACCTTGTACGAATCGAAGATGAGACCGAAGAGCTCCTGTTTTAAGTATTAGCACTGCACACAGCAGCCCTTCGGCAGAGGGCCTACTTACGTTTCTGAAGTCCTGCCCAATCATCGCAACTGTCTTGCCCTTCATGAGACCAATCAGAATCAGGAACATTGACTGGTTCAGTAGCGCGCCCATGGTTATGCACTGTATCTCGCGAGTAAGCTTTAATCCGTCACCACAATTGGAGCATAGGCCACTCACGTCCGTAAACCACTTCTTGAAGATATTCCACCAGTTCCTCACTCTAACCTCTTCTTCCACAATGCCCTTTCCTTCTCCATCACCTCTCAGCATTATGCCCTTCTCCTCTTCACCTTCGCCTACAGCCCTTGTTTGCTTGACGGTCTTCCAGCCCGGAAACGCGCGCTCGAGCCAATTCTGCCAGTGGTAGTTGATGGGCGCGGTGAGTACGACCATGATGGCGAACTGGGTAAAGAGGACGCGGTCGAAGACGAAGGGCTTAGATTCGTTCCATGCTTTGAGGCGTTGCGCGATGACGTTGCTGCATGAGTCTATGGCGAGAGCGGAAAGACAGGCTACCGCGATGGGAGGTAGCTTCATCGTGGCGAAGAAGGTATCTTGGAACGCGAGGAAAGCCGGCGGAGAGTCGCTGTCTAGGTAGTTGATGAGGATGGTGGGGATCAGGTCGCAGGACCGATTGCGAGATGCAGATCAGCGAGGCCAAGTAAGCATCGCAGTACGCGGGCGTTTCGGCGAGGCGGTCACGGACGGTTTCGTAGCAGGGTGGTTGTAGTGGTGGAAAACCAACAAAAGTCAATCGGAGTGCGGCATGGCCATCTGCTTCGGCTGCGCCGTTGCAATGCCACTCCACATTGGTTGGTGTTGCTACCTACTGCGCTTGTCGGGGCATTGGCGCTTGAATCAGACGGTGGCTTGATACGCGTCACAAATGACTCGGCAGCACGCTTATCGCTCTCTCAGCCTTTACGAGGCCTTTGCCGCGGTTTTGTCACTTACTTAACTTCTCGATTTCCTGGTAGGAGAGGACCTGGAGCTTCATACCTCCCAATATTAAGCCGCGCACGAGTGGCCGAGTTGTGGCAGCAGCCTACGGAGCCCTGGACAGGCTGCTTCTTGAGAAATTTTGGTGGCGTACACGCTGCACACCTATGACAACGCTCGGCCGAACAGGAGGCACATGAAATCTGCAGAGATCGTAAATGAGGCAGGACAACATAAGCCAACAGTTTTGGAATAAGGAGCCGAGATGAATTGGAATACCTATCACCTCTCGCCTTTTACGCTTGATAGGTTAAGCAAATACCAGACATTAACGAGTTCATGATCGCATCCAGAGTAGCCTCATGCAGTCCCTGAATCTATTGCAATCTCTAAAGCAATGGGCCATTATGAATTACAGGCTGTGATAGACAATATTGTGTATGGGGTGACAACAGGCTGTTGATGTGTAATTGAGTCTGTATCTACACACGCCCGCATGCCCCGCAAAAAAATCGCAATGTGAGAGAATACACTTCAGGCTAAAAGCTTGTCTTGTCCAATAAAACCAAAAGAAGAGTTAACAGATAGAGCGAACTATGCAGAGAGCTACTTGCAAGCACAACCTGGTGCATGTATACCTTCTTGACTCGAATCTTGGCGTAAGTAGCCAGGGTTCAACAATAGTTTGTATATAGATCGCAAGGGGAAGACCTGAAATGTATGAATAAAGTAGAAGACATCAAGTCTGTTCAAGAACCCAAATCACATGCAATTTAGGCTTCCAAGCAGTAACTAAATAGCCACGTGTCAGAGCAAGAACGCCATTGCGTAGAATCCAAAAAGTACTCCGAAACCGAAACTCTTTTCAACCCGCAACGTAATCTCATATTACTCTACTGTTTCTTTTTCTTCTCGTTTCTGTAGGTGTTCACTCGTGGCACTCCCCGGCTCGAACCGTGCGCATGGAACAAGCCGACCAAACTCCGTTTAAATCCACCAACGATGACATAGCGCTATACATCATCATTGCTCAGATAACGTCACCGCATAACCAGCTCACCAGTTAACATGCTAAACAGATCTGTAGTCACGTTCGAAAACAAAGCGTAATGTGGGGTTCGATCTGTGTGCATGAACTGGAGATCTACCGAGGCTCAATAATCGAAGGTGGGTAGACGGCATCGGCGAGCGTGTTGCGCCGTCATACACCGGTGCTGTCTCTTCTTTCGTTAGTTAGGTACAAGCCATCGTTTTTGCCTCACATCTGTGTCTGTACTCTGCTCCCAAGAAACAACATCTTTCAAGAATTACCACCATCATGTCAAACAAAGCAGCATGGATCCCAGAAGCAAAGGGCCAGCTCCAGGTCAAGGAAGCTCCCATGCCAAAGGCAGGCAAGGGCGAGGTTGTTATTAAGAACCACGCCGTTGCCGTTAACCCCGTAGATTGTGAGTATCTGCATTTTCTAGTAGGAATGAGTTGCTAATTAGAGCAGGGAAAATCCAGGACTACGGCATCTTCCTGCAAAAGTATCCCAACGTCTGTGGTACTGACGTCGCTGGTGAGGTGCACGAAGTTGGCGAGGGCGTTACACACGTTACCAAGGGCGACCGGGTGCTAGGGTTCGTCTTCCGCCTTCAACCTTGAGAGCTTCCGCGGGGCTGTGAACTAACAGCATGGTACAGACACGCGTTCTCACTCGTGACTAACGACCCCGCGCACGGTGGATTTCAGCTCTACACTGCTTGCAACGCGCTCGTCGTATCGAAGATTCCATCGCACATGACGTTCGCCGAGGCCTCGGTGCTACCTCTTGCCGTCTCCACTGCCGCGGCATGCCTCTTCAAGAAGGAGACCCTCGCGTTACCCTTGCCATCCTCCAACCCCTCTTCTACGGGCAAATCAGTGTTGGTATGGGGCGGCTCGAGCAGCGTTGGAGCGACTGCAATTCAGCTAGCCGCGGGTGCCGGTGTAAAGGTCGTCAGCGTAGCGAGCAAGCACAACCTAGAGAAGCTCAAAGGCCTGGGCGCAACAGCAGCCTTTGACTACAAGGACCCTAAGGTCGCCCACGACATCATCGCTGCTCTCGAAGGCACAGAATTCGCGGGTGTTTGTGACGCCATTGGTACACCGGATGCTGCGGCTGCCTGGGCACCAGTGTACGAGAAGCTCGGTGGACGTTATGGTTCTGTGCTGCCTGATGCAGAGGGCCTTCCAAAAGGTATCGAGGGCACAAGCGTCTTCGGTCCAAGTGTAGCGCTGGCGGACAAGTACGTCGGTGACGTTGTCTGGGCTCGGTGGGTGCCAGAGGCGCTGGAAAGGGGTACACTAAAAGCTGTGTAAGTATCTATGTACCAAGTGCGTGTGAGGCATACACTGACTTCGTGCACGTACCTTTAGCCCAGAACCACTGGTAGTTGGAAAGGGACTCGACGCTGTGGCGGAGGGCTACAAGAAGCAGAAGGAGGGTGTCAGCTTTCGCAAGGTTGTGATTGAGTTGTGAGCCCTATCGGAACACTAGCCCACACAACGAACATGTGATAACAACATGTCGAAACTGACGCGGGGCATAGCTCTGAGTGATTGTGTCCAGGCAGTTCCTCTAGAAGCCACGTCCGGCATTACAAGCACATGCATGCGCTGAACATCAACAAGTTTCTGCGGACCCGGCGAAACATAACCCCGGTCGGGTCCACTTAAAAGTTTTTAGCTTCCTGCACTCTGCTTCAGTTCACGTGCTTCTTGTTCTTCTTCTTCTGCAGCTGCAAGCGTATCCAGCGCTCGCCCCTGTGTCGCATGCTCATTGACACCAGTTTCTCTGCTTTGAGCACTTGCTCTTGTAAGTACTACTGCTCTCCCAACTTCCCATCCCTGCACCATGATGAAAAGCATTCCACATTCGCAGTTTCCACGCTAGCCATCAATCGAACCTACTTTAGATGGTCAATGAGCGCGAATACCTTCCTTGGATGTCTGATTTGCATTTCAACCTCACATTACACTTCTGCTTGTTTTCGACAGCTTTCGCTGACTCTTAACAGGCCACCTAGACTCCGCCATCGTTTAGCATTCATGCTGCTATGACCAACGTGTATGCAGCTCTGTACGTTACCCAATTAGCAGTGCTCACTACACGATCGTACATAGTTGGAGTTTTGACTAGTTCATTCAATACTCATATACAATTAACACCAAGAATACCTATACTTTGCCACTTTCTCTTGATGGTGTTCCACCATACTAATGCACATTGTCTGCCAGAGCTTCGTTCCATCTTTGCTGGGGTATAACAGTTGCTTCGCACTACAAGCTCGATCGCTTAGAGCATGAAGAAGGTGAACAGACCCGTCATACCCGCGAACACAGCGCTGCCAGCGAGATGGGACGCAGCACCTGTTGCTGAAGAAGGTGAAGGTGACTCGGATGTTGAAGTACCGTTTTCGTTGAGCTTACCACCAGTGCCGGCGGTTGATGTAGGCGATACGTTTTCGGTGGCCTTCTCAGAAGCGTTCTTGAATGCATCAAGAGTGTTGGGACCAGACGCCCTAGACAATGTCAGTGAAAGCAAGCGACTACAAGATAAGTGGAAAACTTACGGGGGGTTGATAACACCGACCATGCCATTCTGGCAATGCATGCCCTGAGAGCAGTAAAACCAGACGGGAGCTGAAGCATTCTTGACCTCATAGGTGAAGGTTGTGCTGGCGACGCTCTCCATATCAGATGTCGGAACAAAACCGGAGAAGAAGCCACCGTCCATAGGCTTTAAATTTGGACGTACGAAGTCAGTGTATGTCCCACACGCAGTTCGTATATGGAGAATCTTACCTGGCAAGGGTTGGCGAAGGTAGCCTGAGCGACGGAGTGGTTCTTGGGCCAGAACGAGAAGGTGACAGTGTCGCCCTCAGCGGCCTTGAGGCTGTCTGGCTTGAAGACAAGATCGCCAGCCTTGTTACCGACAATGACCTTGTGATCCATTGCGAAGGTAGCGCTGGCCATGGCCGAAGCAGCGAAGACGGTTGAGAAATGCATTATGGTTGGTCTGTTGGTAAAGAGACTAGCTCGTTTGGTGATTAAGGAAATGCGGGTAGAAACGAAGGTTGTCTTGGTGTGTAATTGGTAGTGAGAAGAGAAGAACGTGGACCTGCCTGCCGAGCCAAATGAGCACATTTGCGTCCATTATATAGTATATAGAGAAACAGTTGCCGCCTGTTGAGCGGATCAATCGGTATACGCATGCCATGCCATAACACCTTCGAGACTTCAGGCGTCGCGAAGGCACGCTTTCTTGACGCCTGAACGCTTGAAGCGAGATCTGGGGAAACAGGGCGGTCAACGTGTCACAATGCAGAGGTCTGCTACTGGCTATGTTTGCCATGGGCGCCTGTATTGAGCCACTTGCCGCTCGGGTATGGCTGTTTCGAGCATGAGGCCGATCCTGTGGCTGTCCAGGAGCTAAGACCAGACCCTTATTTCCATGGCAAATGCGTTTCTGGCCAAGGGATGAAACTCGCTGTTGGTCGTTGATGGAACGCGAGATGTTTTGGAGAGCGTGCACGGAAGTCGTGCGCTATTTCCGCCCTGTCATCTCACCCGTGACATGCGTGGATCCATAGCGACTGCCGTGACAGTGGACACCTACCATCGCGATATCTGGAGCGTAGGTAGCTAACGAGCCGTTGGCTCCGCTTTGAGAAATTCTCCGTCACCCGAAAGACTAGCGCAACAAGCAACAGCGTCAACAGCTTCTGGTGCTGCACTCGGCGCTGCCACACATTTTCCGAACGGCCAGATCTCATGACATACCACCAAGTTTCCTCGGCACCTTCCTCCGTTGCGCAAAGCGTGGCGACCGTTCCAAGGTTCTATCTGCACGTGGTTGCTTCGTGCCTTCGGAAGTCAAAGCGTCCACGGGCCTGGTATACCGAATGAACCGACGCTTTGTTCCGCGGCTGTGTTCCAAGGTCAAGGCTCCGCTCTCACGAGATCGCAGCTCCCAGGGAGAACATTCTGGTCGAACTTCAATCGGAAAACGCTACGGTTGTATCTCGTGTCGTGAATGCCGAAATGGGGGTCTGCATGGGCGGTGAATCGACGCTTCCAAGGTTCATCTGCTGACCAAGGTAATCGTTGCTGGTGTGAGCGCTACCCTAACGGACAGCGAACTCGACGACGTCCTCCCCTGAGCAACAACAATTACTGCATCGTGTGTGACGCTCTGACGGTGGTAGTCAGATTCCGTGTTCGTCGACGTGGCTTTGGCTGCCGCCACTTCCGAGACTATACGTGCGTCGCCTTCAGACCCCGTCCGGTCACGACATCATACCTAAATCTCGTGAGATGTATCGTGCACGCGTGCCGGTGGGGTGCAGCATCGTTTTATTGATCGCTGTCCGTGGCTACTTATTATGGCACATTGAATGCAACCATCCGTATCTCCGGGCCTTTTCCTCGTCTACTGGACCGTTTATAGCTAGTGAAAGCCTCTCCCGCTGCTAGCGTGCCAAAAATATCGCAACTCTCCGCATTAATTCTCGTGTCTTTTGGCGCTATAAGCTTATCTGTGCTAACCTACACCAAACGCCGCTATTTCATGGTCATCTGCTTTGACCGCTGAAGCTAGTGCTGTCGAAATGGTAAGTCATTCCGGGATGTCGCTCGCGTTCGCGCTTGGGCACCCTGTAAAGATTGCCATTGTGACGAAAGACGAGGTGGAAGCCTCGGATCGTAGAGTGGAGGCTTCGAGATGGCGGATGGTATAAATGGCAATGTACTCGCAACTGCAAGACACGCATCATCAGTAACCAGCCCTCCGACTTCCAAACCTCCATTCTCTAAGCCTCTACCCATCTACCAACAAATCATGCAGTTCTCCAGCATCACCGCAGCGGCAATCCTTGGTTTTGCCAGTCTGGCTTCGGCCATCACTGTCAGCTACGATACTGGCTACGATGACGGCAGCCGCGCCTTGACCTCGCTCGCCTGCTCGGACGGCTCCAACGGCCTCATCACAAAGTACAACTGGCAAACTCAAGCCAACGTTGCTGGTTTCCCTAAAATCGGTGGATATATGGGTGTTGCTGGATGGAACAGCCCACAGGTACGTACACTTACTACATTTCCTCATCTTCATTGTCTAACAATACATACTAGTGTGGTACATGCTACGGCGTTACCTACAACGGAAAGACCATCTACGTTCTCGCCGTCGACCATGCTGCTCAAGGCTTCAACCTCGCCAAGGCAGCCATGGACGAGCTTACAAACGGCCAGGCTGCGGCTCTGGGACGTATCGATGCCCAGTACGCTCAGGTCGCTACTAGTAACTGCGGGTTATAAGCACTGCGCTCTACTACAAATGATGATGATTGGAGAGGGAGGATCACGAGAAACATCCGATAATGTGTATTTACAGGATTCCGGATGAGGTATTGCATAGCATAGCGTTCCTTATTTGCATGCGGTGGCGTTTGTACATACATTCCTTACTTAATTCATAGTCCATATAGGATGCAGGTCTGCTTGCCATAAAGAGAGGCGTTATTTATCTGTTGATGTAAATGTCTACCATTGCCGGCCTTAATGACGCCAGAGTCCACAAAGTCTTCACACTTTTTGTGAGCTTCTTGATCATCCTCCCTCCTCCCCTTCACTGTGCGAGTCGCAGCCATGCAGCTGCGGGGTAGGATAATCCCAAGTTTACTCTTTTCGGCATAGCTCTTGTGAATAGTACGTGTTCAGGAGATTCTACACCTTCGCTGATGACTAACCTTTCTATACGCTCTCCTCTTCTATGTTGCGTGTATACCTAGTCGTGATCGACAAATCACAAGACCGTTGCGTATATGGAAAGTATGAGATGACGAGGAGATTGCAGGGGTGTGGAAAGTTCGGATAAGGAGATGCAACAAATGTTTGAGGTTGTTGAGAAGGCTATGGAAGGCTGGTCGTTATTACGCTTTCGGTGGACACTGGTAGAGGGGAGTTACCAGATTCGCCGGCTTTGTTATCCCAATTTCTTCTTCTCGGATCTATAGCCTTCTTAATGAAAGGCTGCAGTGATGGTGGCGGGCAATGCTAGCCTACATTGCGGAGACGGTTGCATAGATTGAATGTGCGTGACATTGGCACTGACATCTATTCATTGTTTCTATCTACTTACATGCATCCTAATTTCTCCATGAGATCTAAAGGCTTGTTGGTATATCGCTATTCGCAAAGGAGGGCCATCTACGCGATGACCAAAAGACTTTTGTTGTGGAAACGAAATGTACATGTCCCAAGAGTATCGAGGCTACGCCCGCATAGCCAAGCGCTCGTGGCCTGCTATTAGAAAAGGTTGTGTTAAAAAACCCGAGGGGCGATTTGTGATCAAGCGTCCTCGAGACAGCACTTGTTTAACGAGGTGTTGAAGCAAGTAATCGACCAAGACTGCCACTAGCGAATGATGGCTCAGGAACTGGTGACTTGGCGTAGAAGATCTCGCCTTCAATTGTACTAGCAGACGTCCTTGATATGGAAGCCGCCGATTTGTGCGAATAGGACTTTGGACTCGATGGAGCCGTCACTGGGGTAACGAGATCAATTGATTTGGCTCCGTAAGACCCACTATGCGACGGCTTAGTCCTGGGTGGAAGAGGTCGCGTAGTGGCGGGCGTGTATGGCAGCGAGTAGCTCACTGACGAGGCTGGGGTGTGTGACAGCGAGGGGGCGGCGCTAAAGCTGATTTGTGAAGTAGAGCTACGGCTGTAGCGCGGTCGAACGGTATCGGGGAAGTAGGCAGGCGAGGGGAATTTGCGGAGATATTTTGATGCCTCCGAGTCGAAACGCTGACACCGGTCGACGCTGTTATCGTCTGACGAGATGTCGGAGAAGGCACATGACGAGCGTTTTGACTCAGGCTGAGTGGGGGAGCGCTGAGGTACAATGTCGCGAAAGGCAAACTCGTCGAACGTGAAGTTGGCAAATGGCGTAGTTGGCGGTGAGTAATGATCGTATGAATAGGTAAGGCTCTTCTCGGTGTCCTTTTTCTTGCAGCTACGTGTGCATGTCAGTAGGTGGCCTGTGCATCATAGAGTGGGTGTGGGCCATACCTTTCCGAGCAATAGAGCACAGAGTTACTGGGAACAATAATTTGCTTCTCGCAGACGGTGCTGCAACACAAGATTAGTGCGCAGTCGCGAGGACTCGGATGACGACAACATACCAGTAGTTCAAAAAACTCACGGCCATTGAGTCCTCGTCCTCGTCGGATGCAGTCTCTTTGTAATGAACGGCTTTGGAGGCGGCTTTGGTGCCGTGGGACTGGGTCCGCTTTGACAGAGGCCTAGAGGGCCGTGCGTGCGCTGGCTGCGACTTTTTGGATTGATGAGACGGGTGACGAACGTGATGTGTGGCCATGATGGATGCAGAAGAACTTTAAAAGCCTCACTGTGGTAATCGCGCACGGTGCACGGTGCACGATGTCGTTACAGGGCTGGAAGTAGGGCAGCAAAGAAGCGGTGACACAGGCCGCCGAGTACCAGCTGCTGATATGACGGAAGGTTCGTGCGTGGCTTTGTTTAGGATCCTTATCGCCTGGGTTCTGCGCCAACGTCTTAGCCAGGAACACGATAGTGCGTGTCTAGATCGTGACGATGTACAAGAAGGGGCCTTGATCGATCGACGAGGTTGAGAGGCGACACCAAGAAGCCAGGAGAACGAGCTTACTTCAACAGACACGGGACGTGCGACGTCGGAAGGAAGGAAGGATAGAGTGCAGTATAGTTCCGGGAACGATGCGCGGGTTGGGCTGGGCTGGGGTGCGCGGCGATAAGCAGCAGTTCGTGAGAGACAGCAAAGCCGAGTATTTCCACGGGGCAGGCGGCTTTCAGCGGCAGGATAACAAGCTATGTATCCGAGATCGATAGCAAGAGGAGTGCGGGATTGCGGTCAATAAGTAATTACGAGACCGGCGCCTGCGAGTACCTGAGGGCAGTTCTAGAACATGGTTGACGACGACGGCCTAGATATGCGGTCGGGATATGGTTGCGCGTGTGGGGATGATTCGTGATAGCCATCACGATGGAGCCATTGAGATCATCTAGCACGCCATAGCGGCACCCGCTGCCCGCTGACTCCTCCCTACTACCCCCCACTCGCATCCACCATGGTGCCTTGCTACAACTCAATCTTTGCCGGTGTAGCCACGGCGGGGAAGCCTGGCCAGAGTGCATCCTTTCGCCGTTGCAGCGCTGTGCATGGAAACGTCGCAGCCGTCGTGTTGCAGCGAATTGCGGGCCGAGCATGCACACGGGAAGACCACCAAAGGTCCACGTTCTTGTGCAACTCGGTGCGACTCGCAGCGGGCACCATCACTACACACCACTGCCCACTCGGGTGCGAGCTCTCTCAACACAATGAAGCCATATTGCGTATCTATCACAGCCTTCCGTTCGGTAACAGGGCGCGGCTCCTCTTTCGCAATCGACTCACCACGCCTTAGTCGGGCTTTGAACAGCTTTTTTCGCGGCTTCATCCAGCTCACCAGTCGGCTTGCGAGCCGCTATACATAGAGTGTGTTCCTTGCCGATAATTCGCATCTCTGAAGCACTCCGGTTGAGTGACTTTTGACTGTGCATAACTAGATGCGGGTCCATTGTCTACTCGCGTAACTCTATCCTAGCGGCCGCGCAACAAAAGAGCCAACCGGGTCTTCAGAAGGGCCTTCACCGTCTCGAACATGGTGAATCACCAGAAAATCTCTTAGGCTTCAAAATACACACCTTTCTTTATGCTGCAATCCGCCACCATCAGCGTCTATGTACCTTCATATGTCGGTCAAGAGTTTTCTCTCTCGACACCTTGGTCTCAAACAGAAACCGGATCGTCCATGTATCGCCCTCTAGTGACACGCCACAGTTGGATCGGGGTCGAAGTTGGATAAAACGGCCCTTTCTGTTGGTGTTCAGGCACCGGTGGGCAATCAACCTGCTCGAAGCTGAAACGGTTCCGCCCTACCCCACAAAAGTCAGCAACAACTCGCCCGATGTCGTAACATGGCCAGGAAAACAAGACGTGGAGAGACCCACTACACGCGTTCAGAAAGGTCTCGAACGTTTCTTCGTTGCGAATCGTCGCAGATATCAGAGCTTCGAGCGCTGGGTTCAAGTAGAAGAATTCTCCCAGAGTCGAGACCAATCGCGGAATGACGGACTTGTCGTATGTCTGCGACGTTGTCAGATCCACTTCTCCACGAGACTGCAATGACGATGACTTACGACGTCTGCTCCCACTACAACATCTGGTACGCTCATGCCATAGTCTTCGGGAAAGGTCGCTGCGTCAATGGGATGGCCCCACCTCAGCGCGGCTGTCCGCACTTGAATCCGGGACGTGTCATCGACATCAAGTCCGTTGAGAAAAAGATTTGTTCTGATGGCATCGACAACAGCCTCGTCGCCATCTGTGGCAACCACGCCGGTCGCCCCCAAGTGCTTCGCGCAAAGAATGGACAGCATTCCAGTTCCTGCGCCAAGTTCAAACAATCTCTTCCCGGATACAAACGGTCGGCCAGCCTCGGACGCGAGATGCGACCCGAGTAGCAAGGCGGCTTCCCAAGTTCTGAGACCAGTCGTTCCAGACGAGGAGATGACGGATCGCGCTTCAAGTAGCGTTACCGTACGTTCGTGCGTTACGCTATCATCGATTGAATGATGGGGGTAAGAGTACGTCACGAATGCTTTTTGCTGAGCTGCATCGGCTTCGGAGGGCAGATCAGCAACAAGCAGAATAGTCATCGCTTCCATAATGTCATCTGAGATTTCCTATAATTGGGACGAAGAGAAAGGTCAGCAAGTGCTGCATGGAATCTTTGCGATTGCAAGATGATTATTATGACTTGATAGATGGCTGGCTACAGCGAAGGCAAAGCCATGGTGAGGAGATAGGAGACCATACATCCTCCTCCGGGTCGGTGATCGACCTCTCGAGTTTTGCGACAAGTTGTTTGAGAATCCTCAACCGATAGCGGTCCGGGGGTAGTGATGTGATATTGGCTGCATCGAACAGATTGTGGAAGAGCCACACTTGTACGTTTGGCGCTTTTAGTATCGCATCATCTGGCCATCTTAATTGGTGTGGTTCGACCAGCTGGAAATACTGGCGTTGCAAGATAAGTAGCTGCGGTAGGTTGGACGGAGCGTCCATGGAAGCGACAATAGTTTTTGTTCGGCACGTAAGCTAGAATATTTCAATGTGTCTCAGCCTCCCTAGTCGTGCAGCCTAGCTGTATGTTCTGATTTTGACGAGGGGAAAGAACATCCAAGCACGCATCTGCTTACGTAACTTTGTAGCGGGGCGCCTTGGCAGACTAAGCGAGGCGCACTGCCGACCGCCGACACGACGCAGCAAATTCGACATCTCCATCTTGCCGCCAGCTAACCACAGGTAATCGACAACAGCAAGATCGATCTCTGTCCAGTACGTCCATTGCAGACCCAAGCCCGCCCTATTGTACTTGTGACTCACGGCTAATTGTCGTGTTGCAGGTCGAATCCTTCCAACATGGCCGACTCTCAAGTTACTCTGCGCACGCGCAAGTTCATCCGCAACCCTCTCCTCGGACGTCGTCAGATGGTCGTGTAAGTGCAGGAAACACCGAGCACACAGTTGCGGGGGATTGAGTCTGACGGGAATACTACAGCGATGTCCTTCACCCCAACCGCGCAAACGTTTCCAAGGACGAACTCCGTGGCAAGCTCGGTGAGCTGTACAAGGCCAAGAAGGACGATGTCTCCGTATTCGGTTTCAAGACACACTTTGGTGGCGGCAAGAGCACCGGCTTCGCTCTTATCTATGACAGCGCCGAAGCCATGAAGAAGTTCGAGCCCCGCTACAGGCTAGTACGCTACGGCATGGCCACCAAGGTCGAGAAGGCCAGCAGGCAGCAGCGTACGTCTTCCCTGCGTCTATGCATGGTGTCGCAATTATGGCGATGGATCTGCATGTTGATACATGACACATACTGACTGGACAACAGGCAAGCAGCGCAAGAACAGGATGAAGGAGTTCCGGGGCACAGCCAAGTCCAAGGGCGGTGCGAAGAAGGACAAGAAATAAGCGGGTGCACACTGATGATGACTACGAAGGTCATGGCTGGAGTCGAGTGGCGGTTTCTCTACAACTACTGGTTCGCCTGGTTCTTCCTCACGGTGGATACGGAGTTGCTTCTGCGGGCATCGGCATGTATATCTACGAGCGCCTGTAAAACTCTTGCGGATGGGAACGACAAGACGGATGGCGTTTGAGATCAATTGTCTGCTAACCATCAATGCATATCATGGACTTTACGATCCCCCAACTATTTTGCCACTCGCCCGATTTCCACATGGTTTACCCCGGCCACTGCCAATCCTATGTGTCTACGAACGGATACAGATGACCTCTTTGAGACTATCAAACCTGTGTCATGACTTGCGGCCATGAGGAGATGACGTTGTTCTATATCTTGCAGTCATTAGCCACCAGTCAGACCGTCGTCCTCGCTGCCTGCGCATCACCCATCCTGTTTGATCCATTCCTCGCAGACCAACCATGTTTATCCCTGGCATTCCTCCACCCCTTGCACCTAATACCTTCCGTACTCATGATCGCTGTCGCGTTTCCTTCCAAGTCCTCATCCCTGTCCTTTCCCAAACCCTCAAATCCGTGAGCAGCATACTATCCAACGTTCGAAGCGACTTGTGTCCCTGAATCTCGTTGCCGAGTTCGCAATTGTTGATGCCGTATAGAAGAGCAAGAAGGCCTAATTGGGGGATCTGTGGACAAGTAAATTTCAGGCGATGTAAGACAGCAACAGCACACATTGACTAGAAGTAGGGTGTAGATGGTTAGCGTAACAAAGGGGAAGATATTAAGGCTGCTGGAGCTCTCTTATGTAGAATTGCGTTGAGCTCTGTTTCACAGTATCGTCCATGGAGCTATCTTGTCGTATAAAACCACCCTGGCAGCTGGCATTCTCATGCTCAGACATTACCGTCCTTGTCATATGTGTAGTGTGATCTCAAAATGCTCTATTATCAGCACGCTCAATGAGCGCATCTAAGGGAACATTTTCACAATAAGCTGGTGATTGAAGTTCGACGAAGCTACGTTGTAGTTCTGATTAGTTGTACATGGTAAAGCAAACGACTGTTATTATACTTTGAATTACTACTCGCCATATTTAATACAGGTGCGCAATCGCTCAAAGGATGCATCGCCAGGTGTACACAGACAGACATGGCACGCGCCATCACTGCTCTCGGGCTTCAAAGTCCTCAGATCTCCTGGGGTATTCTTCTGAGGGCTGTGGCGCAATATTCTCAACTTCGGCTTTAGCTTCTTCCCAAGCCGCCTTGTTTCGTTTCGCCCAATCGATATGGCATTGAGCGAACTCCATCTGCAGTTGTTCTTAGCGGCTTTCAAGAGCACTAGGTAAAGACCGAGACATACCATGTAACGCCGTAAATCGTCCTCTTTTTCACTCTGGAATCGTCGCAGGTCCTTCATCACACCCGCACTTGCGTCTTTGGTGTCTTTCTCGGCCACAGTCAGCGCTTGTTCGAGCTGCGTAATGGTCAGTATCTCCAAGTGTCTTCACAAATGACATATTAAGCCTACCTGTACCATACTATCCCGTGTCTTGCCGATCTGATCTCTTCGAGTCTTTTCAGGATCTACGTCTGCCATACCCCTGAAAGCATGTGTAATGGACCCAAACAGCTTGTTGGTGACGAAATTTCCACTTGCAGTCTTCTTGTGCGGGCTACTAGGCGGTGACTGATTATCAGGTGCGCCCTGTGCGCTGGATGGTGTGTCGCCATGTGTAGGTGGGAAGTCGGAATCAATCGACGCCCTATCCTCGTCCGATCTACGTGGTTGCTCCGCCTCGCCGATGCTTCGGTGTGAGCTGTTGGATGCAGCGCGACTTCGGGCAGGTTGATGGCTGACGCCACTCAGATGTTGTTCTAATCGTTTCGACTCTGCTTCACTGCGTTCGAGGGATTCTAGTAGATTGCGCTTCTTCTCAAGTTCGTCCTTTGTCATGTCCTCCTGTATCCGCTTGAGCACTCGATATCTCAAGGTAGAACGTACGATACCGGCAAATTGCGCGCTCTCACGCATAGGCTCCGAGAAGCCTGCGCTGAGAGACGAAGAGAGTTCGGTCGTCGCAATGTACGTAGAGTCGACAGCTTGTCCCGTCTTTTCAATGGCTGCAGCGAGAGACTGCGTCTGTTCAGATAGCGAAAAGGCATTGAATCGAGCGCCAAGATCTGCCATGTCCTCTCCCCAATTGCCCAGGTGCATGAGCAGTCGTCTGTTGACCTTCTCCATTGGTCCTTGCAGCAGGTGTTCTAGGTCTTTGGACGAGTTCTCGAAGCTAACAAAGTATGGATCCAACTCCTCTTCCGACATATTGCGCGTCTCAGGAGGGAAACGACCGAAAATGGCAGGACCCGGTGTCGTATGCGCGGCTGCTGAAGGTAGGGCTGCGTTGTTGGCTGGTGAGACAGGAGTACCCGAGCTAGATATGGTACCGCCCGACTTCAATTTTGCGGAAGACGAGGGGACTGGAAGGTAGCTGTGGGCTTGGGAAGGGTTCGCGGCATCGAGCGGAGGTGCTTTGAGGATCTGTTTGGGGATATTGGAAACAGGCGGGCTGTTGAGTACGTCTGCCTACAGAAGCAAGTCAGTTGAAGGGGTTGGTATCTACAAGAGAACGAAGCCTACCCAACTTGTGTAGGGATCGAGGAACCGCCAGAAGACGCCATCTTGTAGTATATCCTGCATCTTCCTACACCTGTTAAGGAAGACAGCCAGCATGCGCTTCCGCAGCTCTATTATGCCGGCATCCTCCTTCGCCTTTGTCGGCTTGGCGGCGTAGTCGGCCATGGTATGCTTCTCGGGGATGGGAGGTACGATGAGCGTGGGGTGAAGTCTGACCAGTTCGGCGCGCAGGGATGCAAATTCAGAGTATCGGCGCTTGACTTCGAGGCCCTGTCCATGTGTCAGCTGCGCGGCTCCCCAGTAGCCTGGCTAACATACACCGCAGTTGATGGTGTACTGGATGTAGTTCACACCGTCCTTGCCCGCGCTCGTGATCAAGACGAGTTGCTCGGGGTGCTCGTACAGCCATTGTTCCACGCGCGCATCGTACCCGCCCTTCTTAGGCGCCTTTGGGTCTGCGTGGTCTTGGTCCTGCTCGTTGTAGTCGACGTCGCTCATGTCGCGCTGAGAGACATACTCGGGCGATTCTTGTGCGGGCGACGAAGCCTCCGAGGGCGGCGTCGCGGGGCGGTACGGCACTTGGTCATGTCAGCTAGTGATGCTGGCGATTGCTTCAGACAGTAGGTAGAAGCCTTACGGGCAGCGGGCGACGCTAGCCCAGGAATATCCGACGTGTTGGAGTCATGGCGGGCAAAGGATCCATACGGATTGTTGTCCTCGTCGTCCCACATGTCGGCGGTGGTGGTGGTGGTGTAGTTGTCGCGCTCACTGGGCGGAACAATGGTAGCGCCTGTTGGTACAACGAGCAGAGTCAGGCAGCACCAAGCGTCGACGTTGAGATGTTTGCCTTGGACATGGTGAAGCTCCCACGCTCTCCCGGCAGTGGCAGTGACGTTGCGCGTGGTCCAAGCTTGTCGACCAGCCACACCTCCGGCTGCATGCACGACGCCCCGCCACGTCACGTTACACTTGCTTACTCACAGCTATGTCATGGAATTAACAGACAAACCCTTTGCTATCCGCAGCGCCGTGCTGCGTCTCATGCACTTCTTCGCCTTCCCGTACGCCCGTGATAGTTCCTACATTCTCGTCGTCGAAGAAACCTTCGTTCGCTGCCAACGCTTCAAACCCCAGCTCTCCCCCTGCCCCTCGAGGCACCATTTTCACCGGCCAGATGAGGCACAAGCTGTAATAAACCAAGCCGCCCATGAACAGAGATAGTAGAAAGCCAAGCTTGTACATATTCTTGCTAGCCTCGGCGACAGAATCAGCATCCAAAGACCCTGCGACGCCATGGACCGTGAAGGCAACCCCAGCTGTCCACGCAGCCAGCATGCGCATATTCCAGCCTTTGCAGTACGAGTACGGGCTTTCGGATGCAGTCGTGTACAATGAGGGAACATGCAAGTTACCCTTTCGAACGAGCCAGTAGTCGACAATCATGCACGCGCAGATCGGCATCAGAAATACAGTGTAACTTCCGAGGAACGTCAAGAACGCAGTCGCCGAGGCGATAATCTTCCATGGAACAAGTAAGGGTGCCAGAATCGCGCAGAGTACCTGGCCCCGCACAATGGTCAACCATCGAGGGAAGATTCCTGTAAGATCGGCACCAACGGGAAGCGAGTTGCTTCCTGCATTGGTGACAAGTACAGCGAGCATCATACCGAAAGACGCAAATACTATCCCTGCTCTAGCTCCAGCAGTCCAATATTGATCCAAGATGGCGTCGTAGAGATCCCATACGTTCCAATAGCTTTGGCCGAGGACTTGTGTAGCGGCTGCAGTCGTTGCGGTACTCAGGAACATGACCAGTACTTTACTGGTAAGAATACCGAAGCCCTGGCTCCATGTCACATCGCCGTAGGAATGTCCGTATCGCGCTATATCAGGCTGATTGATAAGCACTGGCGCCAGAGCGCCCATAACGGAATTGATGGCTTGTATCATGGGCCAGATCAGAGCTGAGCCCGAGAGCTGAGTCTGCTTGGTCGTGTACGTAAAACTTCCAATTTTGCCCCCATTGGCACTGATTACCCAAGCGAGCACCCCGAAGAGTGCAATCGTTGTATAGACAGCTTTGACAACAAAGAGGTGTCGAAGTACCGTGGGATGAATGAACATGACTGGTAGTTGCGCCTAAAGATGAGTTTACGAAGTCAGTATTTGTCTCACATACAGTTCGTACATGGATATCACTAACCTATTAATTTTAGCATACTCAGTCGGCCTTGGACTTGAACGAGAGAAAGGTGGACATTACCTACCATCCAAAACAAGAAGAAGCTCAGCAAATCTCTACTCGTGATCCCCGCACTCTCTGAGAGGCGGTTTGGTATATCATTGTAACCCTTTCCAAATATACCCCGCATGAACACCGACGTGATACGGCCTCCATAGTAGGTCTGCGTCGCAAAATAAATGATTGCAACCACAGCTCGTACGACGATGTACAAACTCGCTCCCCTGACGCCAGCAGCTGCGCGCACATACACAGGGAAGCCAAGAAAGTACTTGACAGCGCCGCGACTATTGAGCACAACCAGAACGGTGAGAATGGCGGAGCCGATGATAGCAGCAATCATGCCGTGCCACCAGAGTAAACCGATTGAGACAAGAGATGCGCCGAGGTTGTACGAGGATGGGCTGAATGTCATGGTCAGATAGTATGCGAAGTAATGTTGCCAGCGCCATCTCCGATCTTCTGCATTGTGTTAACTTTTGGAGATGCTGAAAGATGCATTTCAAGGCTTACCAGGAGGACTGGGAAGGAGGTCTTTGTTATAACGCACTTCGCCTTGATCGCTGGTATCTTGCGCTATGACTTTGAGAGTTTTTGGAGAACTCAAAACATCCTTGCCTTGTTGCAAAATGCGAGACATGACCGCGCAGGAATACTCACGCCTGAGCAAATACCAATTCGAGCCTCGGTTGTTCGGCGGGAGGTGATTGCCAGGCTATAAACATCTTGATCGCCTCTACAAATTGCGCATCTCGTCATTGTGGCAGACAAATATTCCTATCAGCCATCTATCTATGCAAGGTTTCGCAATGCTGGGAATACGGCAGATCTTCGATGATAAGACGATAACGCGTCGGGAGGAAAGAAGCCGACGGGCAAAAAGATGAAGAATGAGGCTAGTGCGTTGACCTGTCCAAAAAGGTGATAGTGTACTTGAGTAAAGACTCCAGGGCTCCACAGGTTTTCACGGGCACGGGCATATCCAGCGAATGCGACAGGTTCTCTGCATCTGGGATTTCGATTCTAGCGACTGCATGTGTCCTTTAAGACCATGCGGCGTCCCCACGACTAATTTGCCAGGTTGCCCAGGTGGCACGTGTAGTAAGAAATCGGCGCACCCAAATGCATGATCTGGGTACGTTTGGAGGGCTGTTATACCTTCTAGCCCATGATCCGCGTGGCCAAATAATCATTTCGATCCAGATCCATAGGTACGAAGAGATCTATGAACAACCAGTCTTCGACCCAGACTTATAAGGAAAAGTCTCGCGATAGTGTTTCGCAATGTCCCTGCGTGTCGCAACCCACACATGTTCCTTCCTTGAAATATAGTTCATGAAGTTTCTCAGACTCTCCGACCTTCCTGGCTTACCAGCTATTCTAGAATGCAAAGGGATGGTCATCATCTTACCGCCTTCTCTGTATAAGCAGTCAAACGTATCCTTGAGATACTGCTCGTACACTGCACCTGCTGAGCTTACGAAACCAGGGAGCATGTGAAACTTTCCGTCGTTGCCTAAATCATGTTACTAGATTAAATCGGACATGTTGTCATGTAGAGATGCGGCTTACAATCGTAGTTGTACGGCATCATCAACAGGCCCTCTTTCTCCGATTCAGGCAGTTGCTTCTCCCAGGGAAGATCGATCCAATATGGCGAGTCTTCATTATAGACTTCCGATGTGTAGAGCATTTTGTGACCCATCTCTTTCCACATGATTGGGAGCAGGCTGGCTGTATTTGGCGTGCCTCTACCGAAGTATGCTCCTACCGGAAATTCGCCTGTATGCGCGTCAGTATTGAACAAGATGTTTGGCATCGGGTAGGACGTACCAGTTGCCGCTTCCAAGGCTTTGCATGTCTTCTTAATATACGCCTTATCGTCTTCAAGTGAATAGTCCCATATGTCTAGCCATCTATACCCATGAGCCCCAATTTCATGGCCGTCTCTTACGCAAGCTTTTGCAAACGTAGGATTTCTCTCCATGGCCACTGCAATGGCCCACAGGGTCATGTTCCAGCCGAACTCCTTCATAAGGCGTAGTATCCGCCAAGCGCCGCACCTGCTACCATATTCGTAATCTTGCTGCAGAGGTGACGTACGAAGTCAGTGTATGTCTCAAATGCAGTTCGTACAGCCAGAACTTACCTCGCCGTTCAAATGGCGCTGTTCCCTGCCACCGCCCGAAGGGCCTTTCTCCCACAGGTAGGGTTCGCTAATGCCATCGCCATCCATGGGGTTTCTCTCGCCACCTTCTTCATAGTTAAGTACAAAGGAAACTGCTATGCGGGCGCCGTTTGGCCATTGTGCGTCATGACCATCTTCGCCAAAACCTATAATAGTGATCAGTATGAGGAGAACTGCAGATTGTGTGGTAGCGCACCTTCAAAGTCTCTGGGGAGTTGAAGAGACTCTTCGACGTGAACCATGACAGACAGATATTCGATATCACGGTCACGAACACAATACAAGAGGAAGAGTCAACGTAGATTCAACGCATGCTACCTGCGTAGGATTTTAGAGCGGTGTCAATACGTACAAGTCGCAAGGCTATCCACAGTTGAGTCAGCCAGGAACGACTCAACAATCTTTTGACTGCACGTCAAGTCCGTTCCTTTTCACCTGTCAATTTCTTATCAGCAGTTTCTTACCAATCACAACACAGAAAAGTTATCAGGTACAAGGCGCGCTGTTCGTTGTTTGCTGATCGGAAGTGACTCTCCCGACGATCGACCTCGGGAATAAGCGTTCCGCCTGCCCCGCTTTACTGTTATCTTTCCTTCGAGGCTTCCACTACACAATCTTGCAAGCATTCAGACGGCTGAACATATCGGCAAGTACGTATCAGTGGCTGGTAGGCTACGAATGAACATTTGTCACAAGGTGTTAAAGTCATGGCAGATCAACAAGTGCCGCTGTGGGTCTGCACCAGGCCTGCCAGTATGAATAACTGAGTGCCCCTGGCAATTCAGTGTATGACGAACATGTAGCATCGGCAAACGATCGCGATCTAATTACTTGAAAGCGTTGCGGTTTCACCAGAGATGTCGGTTTTCTCGCTAGATACCAGCCATGACAACCCTGTCACGACAGAAACTCTCCAGGCGCTATGCTCTCAGCTTGGGGTCAGCATCGATGAGAAAGAGAAACAGGACTATCGACGCTTACTTGCCGCATTTCACGATGCAAGTGAACGACTAATGGCTATGGACGGTAGGACATAGTGGTTCACGTCGCGAGTCATGACGGAAGCTGACATTGACGTATAGACTATGTCCCCCCAGTCGATGAGGAACGCTTTGCCAGAGAAGATGTTCATTTCCCGCAAGCATCTGAGAATTCTCATGGTGCATGGGCGTGGAAGTGCAGAATCGTTGACAAGGAAGCTAAGAGCGACGGTAAACTTTACGGCAAAACGTTCGCTTTGAAGGACAACATTGCCGTCAAGGGCGTACCAATGCTACTGGGTACGAACTTCGTCAAAGGCTATGTTCCGAATGTTGATGCAGCTGTCACTACACGAATCCTAGCAGCTGGCGGTGAAATACTCGGAAAAGCAGTCTGTGAGAACTTGTGCCATTCTGCAACAAGCCACTCTTCGAGTACTGGAGTGGTGGAAAATCCATTTGCAAAAGGCTATAGCGCTGGAGGAAGCTCGAGCGGCTCAGCTGTTCTTGTGGCATTGGGCGAGGTCGATGGGTCAATTGGCGCAGATCAGGGTGGTAGTATCCGTGTGCCAGCCGCCAACTGTGGTATTGTTGGCCTAAAGCCTACCTTTGGCCTTGTGCCATACACCGGATGTGGAAGTAACGAGCCTACTAACGATCACATTGGTCCAATGACACGGACAGTATTGGAAAACGCTGTACTTCTCGAAGCTATTGCCGGAACGGACAATATTGACGATCGTTCTTTCGCTGCACCTCACCCATCCAAGATACCTATTTACAGTTCCATCAGGAATACTCCAATGCACAGACCCTTGGAAGGCAAGCAATTCGCTATAATTACTGAGTCGCTCTCTACACCAGCCTTGGATCCACGAGTGGTCCAACTCTTTCGCACCGCAGTCACCAAGTACGAAGACCTTGGTGCCACAGTCACCGAGATCTCGATACCGCTGCACTCAAAAGGAGCAGCGATATGGAATGGCATATCGAAAATCGGTGGATTTCTCGGGAAAACCACAGGCTCGTTCGGGCGTCGCGGACACCAGATGCTCGAGCTGAACTCATTGCTGCATCCCATGGGCCAGGACAACTGGAACGAAGCATATGCATCTACGAAGAACATCTACCTCAACGGTCTGTACGCTACACAAAAATTTCCCAACCTCCTCGCGAAAGCGACGAATCTATCAAGACAGCTTCGTGATGCTTACGACGCGGCTCTGGCACAGTACGATATATTGTTGACACCTACACTACCGTATGTAGCAACGAGTCATGCGAGCTTTGATGCAACACCACTCGAACAGATTGGAAAGCAGATCGGCTTGACTTCCAACACGGCGCCGTTCAATCAGAGTGGGCATCCAGTGTTGGCGATGCCGATTGGTATGTTGCCAGTCACGGAAGGCCCTGGAGTGGAAAAGGGAGTCGTTTTACCGGTTAGCATGCAGGTCATTGGAAAATGGTGGGATGAAGTGGGTGTTTATGAAGCGGCGTTCGCGTGGGAGAGGGCAAGTAGCTGGAGGGGTATGTGACGAACGAAGTTTTATGTAAGACCATAACGTCGCTCGCGCTCGAATTTAATGCTGAAAGGTGTTCAAGGTGATTTGTCACCGTGACAACACAACAACGTCTTCTTTGATCCTGTTCCCATGGTCTCTTCTGTCGCCGCTCACTTCAACCTCTCCACCTCCACCATCATGTCTCTCTTTTAATTGCACATCTTCTCCAACTTCATCTGGCCTCTGCAGACCTCTATCTTCAATGAAGAAGCACCCAAGTAAACATAATCCCATGAATGGTACATTCACGATGAAGACCGTCCGACTCGCTGTTGCGTACGCCTGCAGAATCTGCAGTATTTGCCGTGGGCTCAGGGAGTTGAAGTCGGCTGTGTCGTATGAAGAGAGCGATAATGAGCGGAATTCTGCTGGCATTGCACTATGCAAAGAGTTTTGCAATGCAGCAGCGGAGATTGCAAGACCCACAGCACCGCCGAGACTGCGAATGAAGTTGCGGTTCGAGATGACGACTGCACGCTGGGCTTTAGTACAGTGGGCTTGTATTGCAACCAATGTGGGCTGAAAAACGGCACCAATCCCTAATCCCTGGACGACAAGTATGACAACCATAGCCCAAATTGGCGTGGAGAGATTGAACATGCATGTCAACCCTACGCCCAATGTCCAAAGGAAGAAGCCTAGCCAGATTACCTCGCCATAGCGTTCTCTACGGGATATGTATTGACCGGATAGGATGGAGGAAACCATCTGTGAGGCGGTCATAGGCAGCATTAGGGAGGCTGACATAAGAGGCGCGAGGAGGCGGGCGTTTTGGAAAAAGAGAGGTAGATAGTAGGTTTGCGAGTAGGCTACAACTCCGAAGAGGAAATTTTGGAGAAGCATGATGGAAACCGGGCCAGATTTGAAGAGAGATACTATTCGAATCAGAGATGGTCCACAGTTGGAGTATGTTCGGTTGCGGGATAAGTAAAACTCACGTGGCATCATGGGCAGTATGGCGACGCTGTGCTCGATGTAGACAAAAGCTGCGATGCAGCATCCTCCAATGGCCAGCATGGAGACAACCATTGGAGATGCCCACGCAAAGTAATCGCCGCCACCTGCAATAGGAATGAGCAGCAGTATCAACCCTGCACTTCCGAAGAGGATGCCTCCATAGTCGATCCTTTTCAAAACCAATTTCATATCCGCTCTCGGTTGATCCTTAGGTGTAGGCAGCACCAGAAGACACAACACCCCGCAAGCCGCCGAAATCGGGCTGACGAACCAGAAGAAGCCTCTCCAGGTACTATGTTGCACAAAAGCTGCGGCGATGAAAGGTCCAGTCATGTTGCCAAGTCCCACGCATGCGCCTATCAAGCCTTGCCATTTCCCGCGTTCTTTCAAGGTCACTATATCGGAGACGATCATGGCTGAGAGGGACGCTATACCGCCATTTGCCACACCTGATAGACCGCGGAAGACGTACAACATCGTGGCATCGCGCGAGAGGCCACAGAGAAGGTCGGAGACGGTGAGAAGCGCGAGGGCGGAAAGAAGAACGGATTTTCTACCTAGATTCATTATAAGTCATTTCCTGGTGGTTTACACAGGCTAGTAGACGTACCAAATAGGTCGCTCATCCTCCCATACAACACTTGAAAGATTGTATTCGCTATCAGAGCGCTTGTGCCAGCCCAACTGATGGTGTCTTCAGCATTAAGATCCCGCCCTATCGTGGGCAAGGCAACTCCGATACCAGTTTGGTCGACGAAGCAGATGAAATGCGATATCGCAAGGGCCGAAAATACAACGAGGAGCTTCTTTCGCTGAAGTAAATTGGATTGATCAAAGACGGCCGCTTCGGCCGCATGTTGGCGAGCCTCCATGGTGTGGGAGTAAAGAGATCTGACGGCGTTGCCCGAGGAATGTGTTGACGTTGATTCTGTTGCAAGACCTGTCGTATTGTTGTCTTGCCTCTCCGAGGAGACATTTGCAGGTTTCAGTCAGCACTGCCCTGAGAGAGGCGCTTGCTGTGAAGGCTTTTGTGCGCGTGAAGTGATCCAGTGCGAAGCTTGAAGAAAACATGGTTCATGCAACCCAATTGGGTCTCATACCGTAATCGCGATGCGAGATATCCGAACTTTGCTAGGCGCTTTGGGGATAGTCACGCGATCCCTTGGTCTTGGTTGGATGCACGGAGACGCTGTCAATCGAAGGGGCTTATTGTCATTACAGTTAGAAGTCGGGGAAAGGGGGTCAAGATCCATAAATTGCGATGTTGCTACTGGGCCAGTAAACCTCAACAATCAGGTCCTGCAGGTCCAACATACTCTTGTAGCGAATGCGACCATTCTGGGTACTTGGAGCAAATCACATGGTGATGAATCTTAAGATCGTTTCGATGTAATTTTGGTTTAGACCAGAAGATAGACCATGGCAACAGGAGCACGCTGGGGCTGAACAAGCAGTCGTATACATGGTTCTATCCTACACTAAGCACGAACTTCCAGATGCTCATGTCGCATCGCTAACGTAAAAACATAGGAATTCCTCTGATAAAGATGGAAAGCATAAAGACCAGCGTGGGATCGCACTTTACTTTCCCATGTGTTGTGGTGAAAGCGAGTGACAGGCATGCACGAGGTATGAAAAGACAAAGCAGCCGGAAGGCGCCGCGAACGGCCTGAGCAAAACTGTCCTTGGATAAGAAATCACCCATTTCTCAAAAACGCCGCTAAACGGGACCCTTAACTGACTCTTAGGAAAGAAGCCTACAAGGCTGAAGCTACGGTACAATGTAAAGAATCTAATCCGTATTGTGTGGTGGTAACTATACACATTGTACCCAGGTGTATTCGAAACAACCGAAAGAACTTTGAAAGAATAATTCACTACCTCAGCCACGAGCGCGGCCGCTGCGTCGGACAGTACCATTGGTGGCAGAAGTGGGTGAGGAGGTCGCAGCAGCGCCATTAGCCTTGGCTTTGTTTGCTTTGGTTCTAGTCGTGCTCCTCGCGGACTTGGGCGGTGTGGCTTCTTTGATCAGATTGGCAGCTTTGCGTTTTTGGATGACTGGTAATGGATTAACGCCGTTCGTGTTAGCAGCACCCTTTCCGCGTGTTCTTTTTGCTGGCGCAGGTTCGGGCTCGGGCTCGGGCTCTGAAGACGATCCTGGGTCTGAAAGTTCAGAGTCTTCTGCTTTATCTCCGTGCTCTTTCTCAGCCGCTACTTCTGCGTCGTTCATAGCCACATCTACTTCCGCAGCAGGAGTAGATTTGTCTTCTTGTTCTGCATCCGATGCATCGCTCTCTTCCTCAGCTTCTTCTTTAGCTTCTTCTTGGATATCTTCAGCAACACCTCCTGCGCCTTCTTCATCGCTTGATACCTCAACATAGCTCTTGTGTGCAATGCTCCGTCGATCGCTCTTTCTTCGTGGTCCACTAGATGGCGGAACACCGCCCTCAACATCGCTCGCACCATCATCGTCACCAGCTCTCCTCTTCTTCTTCGGTGTCTTAACGGGTCGCTCAGTCTTGGCCTTCTTATTCTTGATAGATCGGTCGCCCTTGATCTTCTTACGTGGCTTCTCCATACCATCTGAGGCCTTGCGCTTCTTGCTTCGAATAGCTTTTCGCACGAGTACATCAAGTTCGTCGACGAGGTCTTCCCCAATCCATGTCTTCTTGGCAATCTCTTGCGCCCGATCGTGACTCTCAAGAGGCCGGAAGATACCGGAGGGTAATTTCGTTTTCCCTGGCCATGATTGCATTGTCCAGTTGTTCTGCTCTTCCCACGAACGAATCAGAGCCTGCGCTAGATCTGACAAGATGTAAAGATTCTCATCAGCCTGGCGTGATGGTGCAATGCCGTCTGCTACGCCCTTGACGCGTTGAGCGACATGGAAGATAAGCGACAGGTTCTCCTCAGTTGCGATACATTTGAGGTAATACAAGATGTACTCTGCCATAAGCTTTAGTGTCTCGTCTTCTGTGTCGAAGTCGGGGTGGTGAGCAAGCAAGCTCAATAGCCGAGCGAATACGGTCTCCAATATTGTCTCCTTTCGTGCAGAAAAAGCAGCGCGGCGTGCTCGAATCCAGGTCATGGTGCTGTTCTTGATGGTCTTTTCAGGCTCATGTGCGAGGAAGAAGAGGATGGTATAGAATCGTGGCGGCAACCGGCCCTGACCAAGATATTTCATCAACTTGTCAGCAAAGCTCTGACGCACCTGCGCACAAGGGTCATGCGTAATGAGAGCGAGTTGAACAAAGTCAGCGGGGCTCAAGAAAGCATCTAGGCGCTTGTTGCATGAGAGTTTGAGTAAGGAATTGGCTGCAAGAAGCCGCTGGCGCGATTTGTGTCCTGCTGGGGTGTTGCCATCCGCCGAGCCTTCCCCGCTGTCTTTCACGTAGCGGTTTAGTAGCCTGTACGTGTCTTCTGCAGCATCGTTGAAGTTGGCATCAGACGGCAAGGAGCGTAGCCGGTTCACTAGAATCTTGATCGCCCACGACCTGCCTTGGATTTCGTCATCCGGTATATCCATCCACTCGATATCTGCGTCGGCTAGCATCACATGTGGTTTCTGGAGAACCTCCTTGATAGCAATCTCAACGATGGCATCCATATCATCTTCGCAATCTTGCTGCGCTAGTAATACTAGTTGACTCAGCGCAGCTAATTTGCTAAGCCAGTGAGCCCCAGCGTACTGGAAGCCTTTGATGCTCTTCGTGAGAATTTCCTTCGCATGCATCTCCTTCTTGTCATCACTGTTCATAATGATGGTGATTGCATGCTTTGCCGCTTGCGGAGGTGTACCGTAGAAGGCAAAGTTAAGAAAGCTTTGTACCAACTTTAGGCTGTCCTTTCCGTTCATTGGTATGTCCGTGGGGAACTTCTGTGCAAATGCAGCACAGGCTTTGAGATCGTCTACTGCACCAGGAGGGTTGGGTTTCGTTGCTGTAGGTGCCTCACTTTCAAGTGTTTTACAGAGATCCTTTACGTGGGTGGAGAAAACCTTGGGGTGTTTTGTGGAGATTTCTTTCAACAACTCGTGAGCAGTGGCACCAAGGCCCTTGTCGTTGGTGCGAGTATACTCGATGACAGCTGGTACATGGCTTTTGTTGTAGCACAGTAGGCTAACGCGGTAGAGAAGTGGTGTCAAGGTATCGAGCACTGAAGAGCCTGGCCCCTCCTCAATCCTCTTTCTTAGCTCCTTGATGGACCTAACAACCCGGCGGTAGTCACTCGCTGGATCCACGCAGAACCGGATGAGAGCATAGGTACGGCGATCGTGGGCTTTGGCAAATTTCCATAAATCGTCCCTAACGCGGGTTGGATCGGGAAGTGTCTTCGCGTAGTAGGTGATGAGGCCCTCCAGATTTGTCTTGACATCCTTCTCACCCTTTTCTGTGACGCCACCATTGTAGTCTTCGCATAGTTTTAGAAAGTGCTCCATGTACCTAGCACCGGGACCCTGGTTCCCTTGTTTCGCGAAAAAGACCTTCTTGGCTTTCGCCTCCAGCCCGTTGACGAGTACGAGCAGTCTTTCGGTTCGCATCTTATCCAGGCCTGCTTCTGTGTAACCCGGGTCGTTGTTTGTCTGGCTGTCTTTTCCGGTTTGGGAGTTCCCAGCTGGCGGTGCTTTTGCTTTAACGGGTGGATAAGCAAGCGGAAGCAGCGAGTCGTATAGCGCGAGATCGACCTGCACGTTGATTTCGAGGTCGTTCACGTAGCAAGCTTCGAGAATACGGGATGGAATTGGGCCGAGCAGAGCCTTGATGCTGTCATCGCCCTCAGCGATGGCACCAGCAGCTACACCCCATATCTTGCCGAGGAGTCTCATAGACTCGGAATGGATGACGTTTTTCTTGTCCTTTACGCGATCGGCAAGATTGGAGAGAATGGACCCCGCTTCCGCCATACTGCCGTTGCTACCGAGCTTGCGAACGATGTCGATGAAGTCAAAGTGCGCAATCGCTTTGACGGCGGCTAGACGCACCTTCTCGTCGCTATCAATCAAGCATTCACTAAAGTACTTGAGCAGCTTCTGTTCTTCTTCGAGATCGAGACCAATACCACCCGCGGATGTCATCAATATGCGACCGATTCCGGTGGTCCAAGCGGCGCGTATGATGGCAGACTTGTCGTTCTTACGCTGGAGGAAAGAATGATAGGCCACAGGGTATTGCGTGGGGAACGAGTTGATAGAGACTGGCGTGGTGAGATAGTCGAAGGGTCGCGCCGAGTCTGCGCGCGACAGGCTCTGTGAAGGATAGGCCACTGGGTCCATGTCGGGCAGAGGAGGTGGGCCAGCTGCACCAATGCCTGATATCATGTCGCCGAATGTTTCGGTAGCAAGCTGACGGAGCTGCACATTCTCCGTGGCGAGCTCGTCCTGTAGATGCGGGACGATCTCCTGAAGCACGCCAGGACAGCATTTCCATAGCTCGCGCAATAGCCGGTGTGCTTTATGTGCCTCATTGATATCGTCCTCTGAGGGGCCGCGACGAAGGTCGTCGGCACCTTGGTCCTTGGAGTGGGGCTTGTATGTGCTCCCCGAGTTGGTGAAGTCGACAATGACTGAGCTGAAATAGTTGCCGATGAGGCGAGCCATCTTCTCTGGGAAAGCGTTGCAGACATTCTTAGCCATGTTGTAGGCGGGCGGTGCCTCTTTGCGCCGCAGCGTTGATTGCTTGGCGTCGATGTGCAGGCTCTTGTTGGCCCTGGCTGAGGCGGCGAGGGTGAAGGGATCGGCCCAGAGAAACTGGGCGACGACAACGTCGACCACGTCGTGCGTGACTGCCGGGGCCTCGTCTATGATGGTGGAGAGGATCTCGGTCATGTTGTGCTCGACGTTCTTGCTCAGCTCTTGGCCGCTGGACGAGGCAGACAGGACGTCGAAGCAGGTGGTGAAGAGGGCGGCGGTGAGGTGATGGGAGCCCGGGATCTCGTTGATGAGGAGGATGCTCTTCCATTCGGCGAGCGAGCGGAGGATGTACATGTGCTGGCTGTTGTAGGGGTGCGCGGGCTCGGCGAGGAGCGGCAGCAGCTTGAGGATGATGACGGAGAAGATGTCCTTGAGCTTCGAGGCCGGGTAGGGCGCATCGGGCGCAAACAGCTTCAGCATGTCGACGATGCAGCACAGGGTCCACGCGCGGACGCCGTTGTCCTTGTGCTGCACGAGGCTGTGGTGGGCCAGCGACTCGGCGACGGGCATGAGCGAGTCGCGGTGTGCCTCTTCCTGGTCTATGGTGCGCAGTTCGTCGAGCAGCGCCTTGAGTCGCGTCAACAGGTCGTTGACGCCAATCTGTTTGCCGGGCCGGCCAACAAGCGGTTGCTTGAACGTGAGCTTCTTCAGGCCCTCGCGTGCCTCGTCGCCGCGTTCCAGCTCCAGCTCTTGCTCCTGCTCCAGCTCTTGCTCCTGCTCCTGCTCCTGCTCCTGCTCGTCTTGCACCGCCTCGGGCGCGGCGGCCGCGCTGCGCCTACTGCGCGGTGCCATGTCGCGTGGCTGCGCGTGGGCAGCGGCGTGCAGAGACGAGGTAGTGTGTGTCGGCTGTGGCTGCGGTTGCGCGCGGCAGTGGGGTCGTCGAGTAGCAGCGCGGTGATGGGCATGGGGCGGCGATGTTGAGGCCAACGTGCTCGTGGTCCGACTTTCTGAGCCGCGACGCGCTAACTACGCGACTGACGTCCGCCTGTCGGGACCGTGCTCCACCACGACCGCCCACTCCTGTACACCCAGCCCGAACACACGCACTCTCCGACACTACCAGCCCCTTGGCCTTGACGCCCATCTGGCCATGTCACATGGAGCGCCAACACACCTTCCTGCAGGTACGCTGTCTGCCCAGACCTCCCCACGTGCGCTGACCCCTCTCTCTCTCTTAGTTGAAGCAGCCGTGTGTCCAAGTCCTACAAGCCACGGCCACTCTCTCGCAGAGCCCAAGCGCTCCGAGGGAGCTGATCCACGCCCTCACCCGTCTGCTCACTAACCTCCAATCCATCACCTCCACACCTGGTCTCCTGGACGCTAAACTCACTGAGTACGCTTTCGTCTCTCTATCTCAGGTACTGCGGAATTCCCGACACGTCCCAGTTAGAGCGCTAGAGCTCTGCCTGGAATGCATCTCGACCTTGCTATCTGCTAACTGGGGAGGTGGCCTTGAGCCTGCGCTCTCTGGACAACTCCTCATCCTCTTCACCTTTCTCGCCAAACCTTCATCCGCCGAGAATGGCATCTCGGCCACCTCAGAGGAGCTACAGTCGCTCGCTCTCGGGTGCACATCCGAGTTGATGAGTGCGACGTCTCGTACCAAGCAGGGCAAAGAGGCCATGACGGCTGCGGCTAACATACCTGCCTTGGGCGAGGCTGTACTAGTCATGCTCGAACGTCTCACAGATAGCAACTCCAACACCGTCAAGCTGCAGTCCACTTGCGCCCTCAAACAAACTGTCGGCGCGATTGGCGATGACGATGCTCTTGCCAGCTTTCTGCCCAGGATAGTCTCGTCTTTGGCTAAAATATTGACTCCCCGTAGCAGTGTTCGACCCGGCTTTCGCGTTGTTGAGCAAGGCTTGGAAGTTCTTGCATCACTTCTTGTCCGTTTACTTGGCGATGCCCAGACCAAAGATTTGCCCGAGACACTACTGTCGGATGAGTCTGGCGGATGCACCACAATATCTCGATCACTCGCTTGGCTACAAGCAACTGCAACACAGATGAAGATTGCGCTTGCCAATATCTTCAGATTGAGGGATCATGATAAGCAAGAGGTACGGCAAGCGCTCTTGACTCTGTGTCTTTGCGTCGTAAGGGATTGTCGTACATCACTGTCTCTTTGCACAAGCATGGCTATCGAAACCATGGTCGATCTGGCAGGCCATGAGACCCCGGCCGACACCACTGAGGACAAACTCAAAAGACTGTTATCAGCAGACCAGAATCTCTCCGAACTTTTGCGCGAAAGTTTGCATGGTTGGATCGTCGCCTTGCCTAGATTGATGCGATCAAAAGACGACCGTACCCGCCATAAAATCGTACATCAGATATCAGTCTCGCTTCGCCTGTTCGATGAAGATCCAATGATTCTAGATGAGCGTCTGGCCGATAGTCTTCGGGATGGCGTGTCTGCAGTGTTTATCCATGGCAGGGGGCTCGAAGAAATAAACGACCGCAACACCAGTCTCGTCGCTGGTCGTACGCTGGTATTTAGCTCGACAGAGTCGTCTTCTTTCCCACTAATCAGCATGCAATTCAAAGGCCAGGAAGACATGATGAAGGGGTTTAAAGTATTAGTTCAAGAACTTGCGCGATCCAACTCTGCGTTGGCCGTTGCTCAGGGCCTGACCAATTCCGTCGATCTTGGGGCGCCCGAGATGCGCTTGGCGAGCTTCTGGCTCTCAGTCAATCTAGTAAGAGACATGGCATCAGTCAATCCATCTGTCGATGATTTCATGAATCTGGGAACGCCAAACCCGAGGGAGGAAGTCTTGGATGACTTGTACTCGCATTCTCTGTCATTGCTGAACCAGCGAACTGTGGACACCAACAGCCATTGGCATTTATATGCATTAGCGCTGGAGACGGTAGCTTTGCAGGCGAAGCGGTACAAGACCGAGTTTCGCCCTGAGTTGAGTGAAGTACTTTATCCGGTGCTGCATTACCTTGGCAGTTCCAACAGCGCACTACGCGAGCACGCCCTGATTTGTCTCAATATCGTAGCAGGGGCCTCGGGATACAAGGACGCAGGGGAGCTTGTTGTCAGTAATGTCGATTACATTGTCAACGCAATTGGCCTAAAGTTGGCATATGGCGATGTGTCGCCTCAAGCACCACAAGTCCTACTCATGATGATAAGGCTTTGTGGCCCACCTCTCCTACCTTACCTAGATGACTTGGTGGATAGTATTTTCAACGCCTTGGAGAGATATCATGGCTATCCTAAGCTTGTGGAGCTGCTTTTCAACGTCTTGAAAGGCATGACGGAACAAGGTGTCAAAGCACCACAACTTGCCGTGTCAGCCGACAATAAGAAAGAGGAACATGTGCATCTGAAGAGAACGGTCGTCATGAACGATGTCATCGAAGCAATTCAAAAGTTCGAGGTAGAGACACAAGAGCGGGAAGAGGAAGAGAAGCAAGCGTCAAGGGAGGCACTCCCACGAAAGCCCTGGAAAGTCGGAAAGACTTCAGAAGATACCGACTCCAATAGCACGGACGAGGAGAACGGTCGCCCGCCTCCCCCGCACACCGAGGAGTCTTCCCCTCCCGCCCCGCGTGCCTTTGCTATTCTCCTCAAAATCTCCGAGTTGACACAGCACTATCTCACCACCATGTCGCCTAACCTCCGGAACTCGCTTCTGTCCCTCCTTCGTACCACTATACCTGCTATTGCAGAACACGAGAACTCACTCCTGCCCCTCATTAATACGCTCTGGCCTGTATTACTACCTCGTCTACAAGATTCGGAAGCATACGTGGTATCAAATGCGCTCGATATTGTAGCATTGATGTGTGAACACGGAAAAGATTTCATGCGAACTAGGATCGATGATGCATGGAACATTACCAGGAAGGTCTACGAACGCACTAGACAGAACGACGACTGCAACAGGAAAGGCAGCTTCCAACCGATGTCGCTAGAGATCAAGGCTATCGGGACTGGTCTGACGAGGCTCGCCGTGGACTCGCAGCCTACGGCCGACTCTTCACCAATGGAGCTGTACGTTGAAACGCCTACACGGATGATCTGGAACAGTCTGACCGCCTTGCTATGCGCCATTGCGAAAAACGTAACGATGCGGGATGAGCGCTTCGAAGAAATGCTGGACATGCTGGACCCTGTGCTAGCGAGAGACGACGTACGCGGAGCTCTGGGTCACAGCAACGCCGACGCGATATGGTTGCGACTATACAAAAAGCGGCAGGGGACTGACAGAGGGAAGCATTCTAGGTCATTTGTATCAACAAAAGCACATGAGGTAGCAGGCAAAATACCCGTAGGCAAGCCCCACTGGCATTTCGTGCGAGCCTAAAGCGAAACGATGTCTGCACAGCCACGGATGTCTATCGAAGAGCTTTCCATTCGGCCAGGCGCGGCAGCAGCAACAGTGCAGTTGACCTGCAGTATTGAAGGATTCCCATGTAACCATACTGTTATCGTATATATGGAATAATTGGACGTTCAGATACCTTAGTACTAGTGCAAGCATTTCACCCGTCTGCCCCTCCATCTAGCATCGCATGCTCCTCGTTCTTCAATTTTCAATATTGCCCAGTCACTGTACCTTTGCTACTCGAGTGTCACGCTGTAGATTAGCTGTGAAGGGGATTCTTTCTCCGTTACTTATCGCTCACTGTTTGGTGCACTCTTCTATAGATCATGAAAATATAGAAAAGAACCCAAAATTGAGAGCATTTTGTACAATACATAGCCCAACTTTCGTCATAGTATCCGCCTCACATTTTGTCCATGTCTGATCACTCGTACATGTTCTCAAGGATGATAAAATGACTTTGCGGTCTTTTTTCCCCAGGCATTATACTAGCTGATGTACGCCTTTTGTCACAGCCAGATCTTTGGGTCTTCTGACTGCGCGCTCTTTACATGAAGCAACTCAGATATTCTACGTTGCACGTGTAACCTCGTATAACCACAAAGGTGCAACACGAGGGACCTTGCAGGAAGTATACCCTAGAGCAGAGGGACAGCAACGTAGTCTATCATACATAAGGTTGACGGCAGGACCGAAGTGGAATTCGTCAAATGAGTGTTCAAATTGTACAGCGCGCCAAGAATGTCGCAAGATGAGACTATTCGGAACCAGCCCGGGCCCCACAGACCAAGCTCAAGACCATAGCTACCAGCAACGCCGACTGTGACCAGCAAACCCACATCACCGCACCAAATCCAAACACACTGAACCCAAACACACTGCAATACGGCATCATCTCCAGGCGCACAGCACGTACTATCGTCTACTCCCAACAAGACGACAAGGCGCGAAGATGCCACCAGCCCGTAGGCACTCCCGTCGCGCTCAAGCGCGTCGCAAACCACACGTAGGCGGCCACGACGCAGTGCACTAACAAGCTACCAGCGACCCGCGCCGTCTCGTCCAAAGACCTCCCTCCTTCGGTCGAAGGCGCCTACTACCGCAAATGCATCGACCTCCGCCGCCGCATAACCGACATTGAAGAGAACAACGACGGCACGCGCCTGCGCATCACACGCCTGAACCGCGGCATCCAGAAGATGCGCCTCGAGCGCGCATTCCTGCTCGAGCAGCTGAACAAGCACATGGAGTACAATGTCGACGACAGCGATCGCAGCAGCAGCCCACCGCCCACCCCAACCGATAAGCCCTTGAGGAGCAAAAGGAGCCACAACAGGAAGGGCACGCCTCCTCTTGGTGGCAGCGCCGAGGGCCGACTGGGACTGGGCCCCCTGCCGCATGCCATCAACCCTATGAGCAGTGCGCAGAGTACACCAGACCCGTCGG